GCTCTGCTTTGCCCCCCCTCCCCCGTCTCCCTGGTCTGCAGACCGGGGGGGGCAAAGCAGAGCCAAGCCTCAGAGCGCGTGGGCAGCGGACAGCCCTGTCCGCTGCCCACGTGTTCCGCCGCTTTGCTTCCTCTCCCTGGTCTGCTGGAGACCAGGGAGAGGAACCCCGTTTGTAACTGCGGATCCGACATAAGTCGGATCCGCGTAACTCGGGGACTGCCTGTATATGCAAAAGTAATCACTATCAGAACTCTCATTGAAATTAATTGGGACTAATTACACCTCAGGATTATCTTCAGACAAACTTCACTTTGCTGTAGAGCAATATCTTAACTATTAAACAGTGGGGCTTGGTGTTAATGTTCAATACTTTTATTATGAGAAATGAAGAATATTGGTACAAGTATATGAAAAAACAGTAAGTGCCATGATAGAGATTGAATCCCCAAGTTTGCAGTTGATAAAATGACATTATAGTACACGAGAGACAAGGTGTGGGAGTTAATCTTTTATTGAATCAATTTTTGTTGGTGAAAGAGGCAAGCTTTCAAGGTCACCAGAGGAGCTCTTCAGGTCTTGGAAAGATATTCAGAGTGTCACAGCCAAGTACAAGGTGGAACAGATTGTTTCTGTGGCACTCGAAAGCTTGCCTCTTTCACCAACAGAAATAGGTCCAGTAAAATAAATTCCTCACCCACCTTTGTTTTTCATATCCTGTGACCAACATGGCTTCAACAACATTAAAATCTGTACATTTCATCTCCATGATGCACTCCATTGTAGGGAACAATTAGGAAACTTATGGATATAAGAGTAACATATCAAATTTCTATATAACTTCTTCTAAAAAAAATTAATTTAAAAAAAAATAATACTATTAAACTTTTAGTTCTGCTAGGTTTGAAGGTTCCCTCAATATGGATCTTAATGAAATCAGCATGAATTTGGTTCCCTTTCCTCGACTTCATTACCTGGTTTCTAGCTTGACTCCTCTGTATACTTTGGCTGATGTTAATGTGCCTTCTAGAAGGTAGGTGAAACAGACCATTATGAAGTAGTAGAGGTTATGCTAAGCTCTGGTTTAAGCCCTATTTTTAACTCTTCCAATTTCCACAAAAAGAAAACTGGATTTTCTGTACCTAACCCTAGGATAAAAGTTTCTTTTGAAGCCTGTGAAAAAAGAAATTTAAAAGCACTATAGTAATTTCAAAATTGCCGTTAGGTTCATTTTGAAAATGTTCTTAGTGGTGTTTTAGTTAAGGTCAATCTCCACAATGCCTTGTCTTACAAAATCAAAATCTGTTTTTGTTCGCCTTTCAGAGAAGTGCCTTTTAGTGAAAGAACTGCAAAGACATATATCATTAAGAGCTTGTGATGGGTTGTTTCTACTTCCCATGAAAAGAATAAATCCCACCATCAGAGCAATGATAAAAGAGTGCACTGCTGGTGGAGGGTCCCTGTGTACAGATAAATGGGAAAGTGGAAGACACAGGGAAAATGCAGTGTTGATATTCCAGGATGAGGTATGGAGCAGGATATAGAGGAATATGAGATTTACCTACTGTTGGTTGGGAATGGGTTGCATGGAGGGGAATCATTGTTTCAGCTTCTTTAATAGATTCTTGGGAAGGTAAGTGGGAAGAGGACAAAAGTGGGGAAAAATTGTCTACAGTACTAGGGACTAGGAGCCACACGGAGGAGCATTTTAAAGGAGTATAGGGGGACTAAAAGAAAGCATGAAGGGCACTTGTGAAGATGGAGGTTTTTTTATCTACATTTAAAAACTTTGCATGCTTTGCTTTGCTGCTTTGGGTCCCCGTAAGATCCCTTCCACAGATAATATAAACTAGGGGTTCTCAAACTGGTGTTTGGGATCTCTCAGGGGGTCCCCAAATGTTAGCCTCCACCCCAACCCCACTTTACCGCCAGTATTTATAATAGTTAAATATATAAATAATTGTTTGTAATTTATAAGGTGGAGTTGTCACACTCAGAGGTATGCTGTGTGAAATGGGTCACCAGTACTAAAGTTTGGGAACTACTGATAGAAATCAATCTTATTTGAACTTTGGGGGGGGGGGGGGGGGGGGGGGAGATGTCAGAAAGTCCTTTTTTTTTCTCTTTTTTTCCCTTAAGTGCCAAATAACTGTTTAAGAAATAAAGTTTGGAAGTGGTTTGGTGGGGAGACACAAACATGTACAAAGGAAACAAGGATGGTCCATGTAAAGCAGTGAGGAGCAACATAGATTAGTGAGTGTGCCACATGAGTGACCCTTCTTCGTTTCAGTGGGCCACAAGATTGTTGTAACCAAGATGGTCTCTCAGGATAGTTTAGTTTTTCTAACTGTTTGCATACCTAGAATTTGCAGGGTGTGCCTACTGAACCATAGCATCACTTTGGATGCAGAGGGAATGCACAGCTCTTACAGTTAATGTTGTATGGAATCAACATGCACCTCACTTCATAACCCTTGCTTTAAGTGCATGTCACTTTAGTAATACCAGTAGGGGGGAAAAAACTATGTGAATGGAAACCAGCATAATCTGGCAACCCTGCACATGGGCAACAGTAAACAAAATGTCTCATGGGCCACATATAGAATCTCAATGGGCCACAGGTTGCCCACAACTGATGTAAAGAGACACTTTGACATTTTAGGGTACGTCTAGACTACATGCCTCTGTCGCCAGAGGCATGTAGATTAGGCTACGAGGCATAGGAAAATGAAGCGGTGATTTAAAAAATCGCCGCTTCATTTAAATTTACATAGCTGCCGCGCTGAGCCGACAAACAGCTGATTAGCTGTTTGTCGGCTCAGC